ACCCGCTTGCACGAGACATCGCACGGCTTTACATCTCAAACCGACGCGAGTTTGAAGCAACAGCGAAACGATGGGTAGATATGTATGCCCGTCCACCACCCCCAGCAATCTCCGAGAAGGTGACAGAAGAGCCCAAGAAAGCGCCTCTCAAGAGTACGACTCAAAAATCCAAGCCTGCGATTATTGACATTGATGATGATGAGATCGAGGTGGTTAAGCCTGGCCAAACTACTCAGTCTCTTCAGACTGCTACTACCTCACGAAAGCGCAGCGGGGAGTACAGCAACACTCTTCAGACCGCTACCACCTCAAGGAAGCGAAGCGGAGACTACAACAATAATGCCACAAGCTTATCCTCCGGCGGTCCTTCTACTTCTGTCGCACCCGAATCGAATCCGCAAGCCAAGCGGTCCCGTAAACAAGTCATTGAACTTGATTGATCTCAGCCTCAGATTAATTGGACTATCATTTACATTTTCATCAGGCGTGTATGCCTATCGAACGCTCAATCCCATGTTATTCAATCATCATCGTCACCACCACTCACCCTCCTTATCCTCCTCATTTCCTACTCTTCAACCAACATTTTTATCATCATTCTTGTCCTTTTCCATATTCATTTTTTTTACACCGTCCGTATGTTACAAGACTCAATATATGGACATCCGAACAAGCCATCATCCATCGTGAATTGATCAAGTTGTTACCAAATCTTATCCGTCTGCTCTCGAATCGCCCCCGAAAACCATCCTGAGTCATCCGCCTAATATATCGATGAGATAGAGTCTTCCAACCCTCTCCTACTTCTATGTTGTAAATAACTTGTTGTTTTTTCATTTTACTATCATCATGTAATCCAAATCAGTTTCTTGGTTGCATCTTCAACGTATATTTATCGGCATGTAGTCGGAAGACATTGAAGTTCAAATCATCACCGAATCATCATCCCTCATCATCTTATTTATCTGCTATCCTGGACTATATATATATATATATAAATGCGATGAAGATGTAGTTCTTGTTCCGATGCGGTTTCCATCTGCATCAGATTCTTCGCCTCATCGCTGAGTGGTTCCCCTCCACATTCTCATTCATG